ATGTATGTGTATAAAGTATATATATGGAAGCTGATCAGAATTACATTTCACCTTTGTAAATGCACATTAATGACACTATGTAAAAGACACATCGAACACTTTATGTAGGGCATACGTAAATCTGTGTATCTATGTATTTACGTATGTAGGTTACCTTAGCATTTTAAAAGCACCAAATCACCTTCTGTGGTTGATTGTTCAATAAACCCTTGAACTATATGTTTAACACATGTCTAACCCTGTCCATGGAGGACAGAAGAAAATGTATATATGCTGGTTAACATTGTAACTGTGTGGCCACGTTTGTGGTAGAAAAAAATGAAACAGAGTTAGTATAAATGGGGTTAAGGCAGAGTTGGAAAATGTTGTAAGTGGAGTGCCTCAAGGCTCTGTCCTGGGACCTTTGATGTTTTATATATATATATATATATATATATATATATATATATATATATATATATATATATATATATATATATATATATATATATATATATATATATATATATATATATATATATATATATATATATATATATATATATATATATATATATATATATATATATATATATATATATATATATATATATATATATATATATATATATATATATATATATATATATATATATATATATATATATATATATATATATATATATATATATATATATATATATATATATATATATATATATATATATATATATATATATATATATATATATATATATATATATATACATACACATACATACACACATACATACATACATACATACATATACACATACACACAGTGGAACCTCTATTAACGAGTGGCTCTATTAACGAGTTTTTCCAGTAACGAGCAAGCCACTTGCAGCAAATTTGTCTCTATTGACGAGCTCGCCTCTATTAACGAGTGAAACCACATGGCGCTTCCTAGCGTCTCGCGGGTTCTCGCAAATTCTCGGACGCCTCCGACGCCAGTGTTGTTGTTGTATCTCACACGACAAGCATCCCTCTGGATTTATTTGAGCTTTTCTTTGGGTTTTTAGTGGTTTTGTGACTACAATTTGTAACACGATGTCTCCAAAGAAGCTGCTTGCTAAAGATAGTGTTGTCAAGAGGAAGAAAGACACAATTACTGTGGATTTAAAGAAGGAAATTATAGCAAAGCATGAGTGTGGTGTCTGTGTGAGTGATCTCACAAGGAAGTATGGCAGGTCCTCATCAACAATTTACACCATTAGTAAGGGAATGAAGAGGTAAGGGAGGATGCTGCCTCTTCCACTGAGATCAGGGAAGTGTTTGGAATGTTTGAAAAGGTGAATGCATTCTTGGAAAAGCTGCCCTGATAAAGCAGTGACAACCCGGTGTGTGAAAATGTTTAATTAATTTATCACTTTGTGATAACACTTTATGAAAGTTATGTCGCTTGAACGTGACACACTTTTTTCTCTTGAATGCACCCAAACACCGCGCTGAAGCATCATTTGAGCAAATATTTCTATAAAATCCAATTCTTATCCGATCGACTTGGGGATTGTATACATGTTTGCCATGAAATTTCCGTTTTCTTTAATAACCACATTGCCTATTTGAGAAAACGGCATTGTATTGTATCTTTGTGGTATGACTATTATATTGTTGACACAACGAGTGTAATCAACATAGTTTTTTATTTGGTGCTGGTCTAACGCATCCTTGTGTGACATTTGAAGTGAAATTTGAGTGAAATTCCCAAGAAGAGAGAGTCCGCCTGACTCAGAGGTGGATTCTCCTTCCACACCATAACCCCTCTCCTCCTTTCCACCTCTCCATCGTCTCCCTCAAGCCAGCAACTACTCTTCATAAGGTAAAGTAAACATTAAAACACTACAACAAAACATTTATATTTACATGTGCAGTATTATATTTACATAAAAAAGTCATACAAGAATGGATGTTTTTGGGAGTGGAACGGATTAAATTTATTTCCTTTATTTTAAATGGGGAAATTTGTTTCTTAAGACGAGTTTTCCAGGTAACGAGCTCGGTGCCAGAACGGATTAAACTCGTTAATAGAGGTTCCACTGTATGTCATACCTAGTAGCCAGAACGCACTTCTCAGCCTACTATGCAAGGCCCGATTTGCCTAATAAGCCAAGTTTTCAAGAATTAATGGTTTTTCGACTACCTAACCCACCTAACCTAACATAACCTAACTTTTTCGGCTACCTAACTTAACCTAACCAATAAAGATTGGTTGGGTTAGGTTAGGTAGGGTTGGTTAGGTTCGGTCATATATCTACGTTAATTTTAACTCCAATAAAAAAAAATTACCTCATACATAATCAAAAAACCTACCTTTTTACCAAAAAGGTAGGTTAGGTTAGGTTAGGTAGGTTAGGTAGTCGAAAAACAATTAATTCATGAAAACTTGGCTTATTAGGCAAATCGGGCCTTGCATAATAGGCTGAGAAGTGAGTTCTGGCTACTAGGTACGACATATATATATATATATATATATATATATATATATATATATATATATATATATATATATATATATATATATATATATATATATATATATGTCGTACCTAGTAGCCAGAACGCACTTCTCAGCCTACTATGCAAGGCCCGATTTGCCTAATGAGCCAAGTTTTCCTGAATGAATATATTTTCTCTAATTTTTTCTTATGAAATGATAAAGCTACCAATTTCATTATGTATGAGGTCAATTTTTTTTTATTGGAGTTAAAATTAACGTAGATATATGACCAAACCTAACCAACCCTACCTAACCTAACCTAACCTATCTTTATAGGTTAGGTTCGGTTAGGTAGCCGAAAAAGTTAGGTTAGGTTAGGTTAGGTAGGTTAGGTAGTCGAAAAACAATTAATTCATGAAAACTTGGCTTATTAGGCAAATCGGGCCTTGCATAGTAGGCTGACAAGTGAGTTCTGGCTACTAGGTACGACATATATATATATATATATGTTGTACCTAGTAGCCAGAACATCGTACTCGGCCTACTATGCAAGGCCCGATTTGCCTAATAAGCCAAGTTTTCCGGAATTTATATATTTTTCTAAATTTTTTCCTATGAAATTGATAAATCTGTCCATTTCATTATGTATATGTTAATTTGTTTAAATTTGAGTTAAAACAAACGTAGATATATGACCCAATGTAACCAACCCTACCTAACCTAACCTATCTTTACGTAACCTAAACTAACATAACTAAGTCAAGAATTTATGTTCCTAATATAATATATTAATACTATTTCAAATAAACCAATTGGAAAAACAAATTTGAAAATAAAGAAAATCACCCGGCCTATTAGGCAAATCAGGCCTTGCATAGTAGACCGAGAAGTGCGTTCTGGCTACTAGGTACGACATATATATATATATATATATATATATATATATATATATATATATATATATATATATATATATATATATATATATATATATATATATATATTTTTTTTTGGCATATATACAAGAGTTGTTACATTCTTGTACAGCCACTAGTACTCGTAGCGTTTCGGGCAAGTCCTTAATCCTATAGTCCCTGGAATACGACCCCCACGAAGAATCGTTTTTACAACCCAGTACCCATTTTACTGTTGAGTTAAACAGAGGCTACAGTTAAGGATTTGTGCCCAGTAAATCCTTCCCGGCAAGGATACGAACCCATGACAAAGCGCTCGCGGAACGCCAGGTGAGTGTTTTACCACTACACCACGGAGACTGGTGTAGTGGTAAGATGGACTGGACTAATACGATAAGTGGACTAATATATATAAATGATTTAGATTCAGGTTTGAGCGGCAACATTTACAAATTTGCCGATGATGCACAAATCGGTAGGGAAATAAACACGGGAGAAGATTCACTATCACTTCAAATTGATCTAAATAGGGTTTTGAAATAAGAACATAAGATCAAAAGTAACTGCAGAAGGCCTGTTGGCCCATATGAGGCAGCTCCTATTTATAACTACACAATCCCACTCATATACATATCCAACACATGCTTGAAACAATTGAGGGACCCCACCTCTATCACGTTAAGCGGTAATTGATTCCACAAATCAACAACCCTGTGACCGAACCAGTATTTACCCGAGTCTTTCCTAAATCTAAACTTATCCAATTTATACCCATTGTTTCGTGTTCAGTCTTGTGTTGATACTTTTAATACCCTATTAATATCCCCTTTGTTATGTCAATTCATCCACTTGTAAACCTCTATCATGTCACCCCTAACTCTTCGCCTTTCCAGTGAATGCAATTTAAGTTTTGTTAATCTTTCTTCATATGAAAGTTTTCTAATTTGGGTAATTAACTTTGTCATCCTCCACTGGAAACGTTCAAGTGAATTTATATCCATTCTATAGTTTGGCGACCAAAACTGAACTGCACAATCTAAATGGAGCCTAACCAGAGCACGATATAGCTGAAGAACAACACCAGGTGTCTTGTTACTAACGCTTCGATTAATAAATCCCAGTGTCCTATTTGCCAAATAGGACAAAAACAAATGAATCAGTATGACTGTAAGGTGCAAGTGTTATATTACAATACTGTATATACCATACTTGTGGGAAGGCTTCAGATAATCATCTGCACACTGTAGAATACTGTACAGTCATATCAATTAATGTGGTATTTCAGGCAGGCAGCATTGCATTATTTTGTTTCCCTTGTTCTTTTCCCCATTTTGGTTTCCTCTTCCCTTTTCTTTTTTTCACTTTCTTCTGTTTATCTCCCTTACCTCTTCTTATTTTATTGCCATTCTTAGCTCTTCTCCATTTTCTTTGTTATAAATTCTTCCCTTCTTTGTCCAGATTTTCTTCTGTTTTGTCCTTTCTTTAGCCTAGTGCTTCCCTCTTGGTAATAATGTCTTTCATGCTATTTCTCTACTTCTCCTTGTTCTGCCTTCCAATCTTTTTACCTTCTATGTCTTGTAATTTGAAGATTAGTTTCTCTCACAAAACCATTTGAATTCCTACAGATGGCGCGGAAATACTTGGTCTTACAGCAAGAGATCTTCAACTTAAGAAAGCGCAAAAGTACTCTGGAGAATAAACTGTCACAAGCTGAGAAAGTGGAGCAGTTGGGAAATCAGCGATATCAAGACAAGATCCGAGAGCTGGAGAGCAAGAGGGTATGATTCTTTATAAAGCATTTTGAAGTGGTTTTTGTGCTATGCCACGGGACAGTTCATTTCTATTCTTAGATACACATGAACAAGATACTTGGTGCAGGGCCACATTGATTGATCCCATAGATATAGTAGTATCTATGGGATCTCATAGATAGAGATGTGAACACTGAAGAATATGCATCTATTTGAATGTATAATTACCTAAGTGTAGTTACAGGATGAGAGCTATGCTCAAGGTGTCCCATCTTCCTAGTACTCTGAAATTACTGACGGTTTTGGCATCCATCACCTTCTCACCTAACTTGTTCCAACTATTTACTACTCTGTTTGCAGAATAAAACTTTCACATTTTTTTTGACATCTTTGTTTCTTTAGCTTGAATCTGTGACCTCTTCTTGCAGTTACAGGTTTAAAAAATTCTTGTTTGTATATGTTGTCGATTCCTGTTACTAATTTGTTTGTATTGATCATATTTCCTCTTTCTCTTATGTCTTCTAGCTTTATGCACACGATTACCTATTTGTGGTTATGCCAAGAGAGCTATGATTGTAATGTCTCATATTTAATTTAGTTTTTAATAAATATTTTGAAAGCTTCCAGTGATTCTGGCACTTATTATGTCCTCTTGGAACTTTTCCATAGATCTTTCATTATAAAGAAGTACTGTTTTGAACTTTTTTTCCTGCATGGTTATTTTCAGATACTGTATTTAAAATTGTGGTCTTTTGTTGTACTTTCTGGGGGGAGCCCCCATTGGATCCCTGAAGGTATCCTAACTGATATGTGCAATATAATTTTAGGGTCATCAGTCACTTGGAGTTCTTAGGCCTACCGGGGACCACGAGCCAGAACCTGGCCCTCTCAGAGAGGTGCAGGGAGCAATGATGTATGAGCACTTTACATTTAATTTATGTCATATTCCGTCATCGATGGGGGACATGTACCCAGAAATATAAGTGAACCAAAACAAACAACTAGCCAGGAAATTGGAACCTACAGGCCGAAGACCAAGAACCTTCGGCTAAAAAGAAGAAATTTGGAAACCTTGTTGTCAACGAGCACTCCCGCTTGTTAATGCAACCCCCCACCACCTGCCAATGGGGAGGGGGCCCTCATCATTCTCGTCCAATGAGGTGGTAGAGGTACTCATCCAATGAGGTGGTAGAGGTACTCATCCAATGAGGTGGTAGAGGTACTTGGAATCATGGTAGAAAATATTAATCTACTTATTATTTTAATATACAAACCGCCAAATGCAACAATTGAGGAATTCACTGAGACTGAAGCATTCCTATCAGACTGGAGAAAGGCAATTAGAACAGAAAGCAATTCAAGACATAAAGAAAAACCCAAAATATTTCTTCACATATGCTAAATTAAAAGTAAAAACCACTGCCAGTATTGGACCTATTCGTACTAGTGAAGGTTCATACACTGTGGGTGACAGAAATTAGTGAAATCCTAAAATAGCATTATGAGGACATGTTTAGCACTCCGATACACAGCATGAAAGTGGAAGATTTGGACAATTTCTTTATGAGTGATATCCAAACACCTGTAAATATAACTGATATCAACACGAGCGTAGCAGATTTTGAAAGAGAAATTGACAATATGCCCATGCACTCAGCCCTGGTTCCAGACTCATGGAAGTCAATAAAGAAATGCAAAGTGCCAGTAGCACAGGTACTCAGTATAGTGTGGAGGAAGAGCTTGGACATGGGAAAGATACCAGATTCGCTGAAAGCAGCAGACATAGCCCCTCTACATAAGAGAGGTAGCAAAGCATTGGCAAAGAATTATAGACCAGTTGCACTAACGTCCCACATAATAAAAGTATTTGAGAGAGTGATTAGGAGTCAGGTCACTAGATTCATGGAAACCAATGACCTCCACAATCCAGGCCAACATGGATTTAGAGCGGGAAGATCATGCCTCTCACAACTACATGACCATTATGACAAAATCACTGAGCATTAGAAGAAAAACAGAATGCAGATGTTGTATACACGGGCTTTGCAAAGGCATTCGACAAATGTGACCATGGAGTGATTGCACACAAAATGAGATCAATGGGTATAACTGGTAAAGTAGGACACTGGATACTCAATTTCCTGTCGAACAGAACACAGAGAGTAACAGTCAATCAAGTAAAATCGAGTCCGAGCGCAGTTAAAAGCTCTGTACCTCAACCTTACCTTACCTTGACCTCAAGGTACAATCCTTGCACCAGTGCTGTTCCTTATTCTCGTATCATATATAGACAAATATACAAGTCACAGCTTCGTGTCATCCTTTGCAGATGATACAAAAATCAGCATGAAAATTACCTCTGCTGAAGACATTGAAAAACTACAAACAGACCTTAACAAAGTTTTTCGACTGGACAGCAGAAAATAACATGATGTTTATCAGTGATAAAGTCCAGGTACTTAGATACGGCAAAAATGAGGATCTGAAACATAATACAGGGTACAAAACACAATCGAATCTGCCCATAGTAGGAAAACAGCATGTCAAGGATTTGGGAATAATGATGTCCGACGACCTAACGTTTAGGGAGCATAACCAAGCAAGTATTGCGTCAGCCAGAAAAATGATAGGATGGATTACGAGAACCTTCAAGTCCAGAGATCCCATCACAATGGTTGTACTCTTCAAATCACTTGTGTTGTTCCATCTTGAGTACTGCTCAGTACTCATTTCCCCCTTCAGAGCAGGAGAGATTGCTGAAATAGAGGGAATACAGAGAACATATACGGCACACATAAACGAGATAAAGCACCTAAATTATTGGGATTATCTCAAAGCTCTCCAAATGTACTCATTAGAAAGGAGACGAGAGAGATACCAAATAATATACACATGGAAAATATTGGAGGGACAGGTCCCAAATCTGCACAGTAAAATAACAACGTACTGGAGTGAACGATATGGAAGAAAATGCAGAATAGAACCAGTGAAGAGCAGAGATGCCATAGGCACAATCAGAGAGCACTATAAACATCAGAGGTCCGCGGTTGTTCAACGTCCTACCAGCGAGCATCAGAAATATTGCGGGAACAACCGTGGACATCTTCAAGAGAAAACTAGATTGTTTTCTTCAAGGCATGCCGGACCAACCGGGCTGTGATGGATATGTGGGCCTGCGGGCCACTCCTAGCAACAGCCTGGTGGACCAAACTCTCACAAGTCAAGCCTGGCCTCGGGCCGGGCTTGGGGAGTAGAAGAACTCCCACAACCCCATCAAGCAGATCAAGGAGACCACCTCAGTTATTCGCTGATGTGCTGGCAGTCAGATGTCACCTCTGGCCTCGTGTTCCTGTCCTGGTTTTGCCCTGTGTGGCTGTTCAAGCTGTGTGTGGTTTTGGCCAGGTGTTCTTTGTGCTTTGAGCTGCATGTGCTCTGGGTTACCTTCCCAGAGTGCTCTGTAAGTAGTACCCTTGCGTGTCAGTGTTTCCTTCCCTGGACGTTTGGGATTCACTCTCCGTTAGGGGCTGCATCGCTTTTCGTATTCATCGCCTTTGGGGTCAGTCGGGGGTCTTAGGTTTTCTGTCCTGCCCCAGGTAGAGGAGTGTTATTGGCTGGAGGGGGGGGGGCCATGTGGCTGGCATAGTCTGCCATCTATGCAACAGCTGATATTTCTCTCTGACTGCTAGTTTGCATGGGGTACCGTTTTGGGTTCTTTTTCTGTTTCATTTTCAGAATTTTTTTTCATGGATGGAGGAGTTCGATTTTAGTGGCTTATTAGGTTTATCTAGGTTATGTTGGTTTTCCTCCTCCTTTGCCCCCAAGGTGTCACTCCTGCTGCTTGTGGCCGGTTTGCTTGTATAAAAGTAGGGAATCTACCGGCTTAGCTGGCTTCAATGCCTGGGCTTCCCATAGAAATAACGTACCCCTGTAGGATATGGAAAACCCTTGTGGTCTTGGATGGTAACGTGGATCCGTCCGAGTCCACTTTCGCCTCGTACGATGTTGATGGTTGTTCTTCGCTCCTGCCTCAGGAAGAAGATCACCCTTTCTGCCTCCGCCATACTGTTGTTGGGTCAGTGACACCTACTATCCAGAGTCTTGCGGGACTTGTTCCATGCTTGTGTTCCAGTTTATCAATTCCTCATCTGAAGAAGAGAGGTTTCAGGCTGTGGTTACGTTGCAAGCTCGCTTCTCTTCCTTGCAGTGCGCTAGATTGGTTGCCTGGTTGGAGATCCCAGAGCTGCCACGCTTGGGTTTTTGGGACCAGGATTTGGGGGGCGTTATTCACTGCTCCTTTCGTTCCGTTCATACCCCCGTTTCCTTCCCTGGTGGGCGTGTTCGCCCTGCTCCTCCCTCCCTGATTTCCAGCTCCAAACCGATAGCAGTTTCAGGGTCAGAACAGGGTTTTGCTTGGTATGAGGTGCAGGTGTCTTCGGGGGCTACCCCTTCCGATCAGGCGTGGAGGTGGTTGCGCCCCTTCTTCACGCCGAGGCTTCCAGTTCATCCCAGCCACCTTCCTTCGCAAAAGGCTTTCCCTTGGACACTGCCTTTTCTTCAAAGGGAAGTGTAGAAGAGGGCTCTGCCTCTTCTACATGGTGTAGAAGAAACACGCTTCTTCTCTGCCCCATGGTGTGTGTGTCTGGGGTTCCTGGGGCTCGGTGATAGTCCGCTCGGAGTGCTTGGGCTCCTTTTTGGTGGGAGAGCTCCGTCGGCTACCTGGATCTATTGTATAGATATTATAGCTAATATTAGTACAACCAAAGGTACGTACACAGAGGACAACAAAGAAATTAGTGAAATTCTAAGAAGCCAGTATGAGGTATTGTTTAGCACACTAATAAAAAACATAAACGTTGAAGATCCAGACAGCTTCTTTATGAATAACATCCAAGCTGCAGATAATATAACTGATATTAACACGAACTCAGAAGACTTTGAAAAAGAAATTGACAACATGCCCATACACTCAGCCTCTGACTTGTGGAATTCAATATTCATAAAGAAATGTAAAGTACCAGTAGCTGGAA